CGGCAGCCTACATAAATCGCCAAGGGGGAGTTCGATCCCTCCCACTGTTGCGTGTCGCCACAGATTTACTGTGTTGGACACATGTCCACCTGCTGTCCATCAGAGCCATCTACATTCCGGGGGTCCTGAATGTAGCGGCAGACATCCTGTCGAGAGGGGGACCCCGCGATTCCGACTGGTGTCTACATCCTGCACTGATATCACAGATCTGGATCAGGTTCAGGGAACCGTCTGTGGATCTGTTCGCGGCTCGCGAAAACGCTCAGTGTCGCCTGTGGTTTTCCCTGAGTCCCGGGACGGACCACCGCTCGGGGCGGACGCCTTCTCACACCAGCCCTGGCCTCCAACGCTCCTTTATGCATTTCCACCAGTCCCTCTGATTCCCCGTCTCCTGGACCGACTTCGGTCGGAACAGCTCTCGGTGATTCTGGTGGCTCCCAGACGCTTGTCCGCGTCATGGTTTCCAGACCTGCAAGCGCTAGTGTCCGGCTCCCCGTGGAGGCTCCCGTGGAGGGCGGACGCCCTTCTCCAGGCGGATGGGATAATCAAACATCCTCCGGAAATAGGCCAACGGCTGTGGGTCTGGCCGCTGAGCGGTCACGCTTAGAGGCTTCTGGGCTGCCGCATGATGTGGTCGCCACGATTCAGAGTGCGCGGGCACCCTCTACCATTGCATCTTACGCTGCTAAATGGGCAGCTTTCCAGAAATGGTGCACAGAACGGAATGTTCAAGCGCTCTCCTGCCAGCTGGCGGATGTCCTATCGTTTCTGCAGATACTGATGGACAGGGACCTCACATTCAGCACTGTTAAAACATGCTGCAGCTACCTCATCATGTCATCAGGGTTTTGGAGATAGATCTGTTTTCAATCATCCCCTCACAAAACATTTTCTAAAAGGTGTCAGAAGGAACAGACCTGTGTCCCACCCACTTTTTCCCCAATGGGATCTAACGGTGGTTCTGCGTGGCTTATCCATTTGAGCCCTTGGAGCAGGTCTCACTCAAGTTCCTGTCACTTAAAACTGCATTGCTGCTGGCGCTAGCATCAGTTAAGAGAGTGAGTGACCTAACCGCCCTCTCAGTGGCTCCCGCATGCCTCAGGATCCGGGAAGATGGCGGGTCTGCTGTTTTATGCCCCATCCCAGCCTTTGTGCCCAAAAGCATTAATGCTTCCTTCAAATCCAGGTCAATTTCATTGGCTGAACTTTTTCCTCCTCCCCATAATTCTGAGGAGGAGGCGGCTTCTCACCTTCCCTGCCCGGTGCGCGCGCTTGCACGATATGTGTCACGCACTTCAGGGATTCGTTGCTCACAAAACCTGTTTGTGCACTACAGGGAGTCTTCCCTTGGTCAGGCGCTGTCGACCCAGCGTTTTTCACACTGGCTGTGTGACGCCATTTTCCTCGCTTACACATCATCAGGGCAGGATTCCCCTGAGGCACTCAGGGCTCACTCAGCCAGAGGGATTTCCTCTTCAATGGTGCTCCTCAGTGGTGTGTCAATGGAAGACATTTCTCAGGCTGCTTCATGGGCTTCACCCTGTTCCTTTACTCGTTATTATTTACGAGATGTGTCTTCAGGTTCCATCACTCGTTCAGTGCTTGGACCCCAGCAGGCTAAATGAATGCTTATGGCACCTCATTGGCCTTGCTGAGATGAATTTCATCCTCTTGTGGGTGATGTTTTTTAGTGGGGGCCCCTCTTTTATCGTGGCTGCCTCAGTCTTTAAGCCTGGTCTGAGGCTGAACGTCCCCCACTAGAGGAGATTTGATTGGGTGTGTCCATTGGTTGTGTTAACCAGTGGGGCGTAAACCCATCCAGCTGCGCTTTATTCCAACAGCAGCTAGCTTAAGGGCTAAGACTAGACGAAATAGAACGTTGGTTACGTATTGTAACCCCAGATTCTATGAGTCTAGTCGCAGCCCTTAAGCCACTGGCCCCACTGGTTATGATGGGAATAAGAGCCATTGGAGGTGAGCATTGGGGTCACTGCGGTTATATACCACGAGGGGGCCCACTATTGGTGGGCGTACATTTAAGCTCTTCATGATTGGTTGATGCGGAGATCATCCTTCCAATAGCAGCTAGCTTAAGGGCTGCGACTAGACTCATAGAATCTGGGGTTACAATACGTAACCAACGTTCACGGAGATTAATGTAATGCCATTCAGGTCAGGCGATTGGCTAAGCAATTTCCTTTTCTGGATTTCTGGTCCAAAGATGAGAACTTCCGTCTTGTCTTGATTTAAACGCAAAAAGTTTAGAGTCATCCAATTTTTTATGTCCTCAAGACAAGCCTGTAATCTGCCCAACCGATTAGGTTCATCAGGGTTAATGGATAAATATAGCTGAGTATCATCAGCATAACAGTGGAAGTTTATCCTATGCTGTAATGATTTTACCAATTGGGAGCATATATATAGTAAAAATAATTGGTCCAAGCACTGAACCCTGTGGTACTCCACAAGTAACCCTGGAGTATGAAGACGATTTGTCATGTACATTTACAAAATGAAATCTGTCAGACAGGTAGGATTTAAACAAGCCTAACGCTGTTCCTTTGATCCCTACAACATGTTCAAGTCTTTCTAAAAGAACATTGTGGTCAACTGTGTCAAAGGCAGCACTGAGATCTATCAAGACTAGAACAGACACAAGATTCTTATCTGAGGCCATGAGAATATCATTTTTAACTCTCACTAATGCAGTTTCAGTGCTGTGATACTCTCTAAAACCAGACTGAAATTCCTCAAACAGAGCATTAGTGTTTAAATTCTCACATACTTGGATGGCCACTATTTTCTCCAGGACTTTGGATAAAAATGGAAGGTTAGATATTGGTCTATAATTCATTGGGTCATCTGGATCCAGAGAAGGCTTCTTAAGTGAAGGTTTGATTCCAGCAACCTTAAAATCCTGTGGTACATACCCATTTACTAAGGATAGATTGATTATATTTAGAATGGGAGCAGTAAGCAAAGGAAATACTTCTTTAAATAATTTGGTTGGGATTGGATCCAAAATGCAAGTGGAAGGTTTAGATGAAGCTAATATTTTTGATAACTCTGAAAGCTCAACTGGATCAAAACGGTTCAAGCACAGATGAGGTTCTACAGTCACCTCTGATGCTGCCTCACTTACTGAGGAAGAAGAAATCACATTAGGGAGGATGCTAAAGATTTTGTTTCTAATAGAATTAATTTTACTTGTAAAAAATCCCATGAAGTCATTGCTGCTGAGGGCTAAGGGAATAGATGGCTCAGAGCTATGATTCTGTGTAAGTTTAGCAACTGTACTGAAAAGAAATTTAGGATTATGCTTATTCTCCTCAATTAATGCTGAAAAATAAGCAGTTCTATTTTGTCGAAGCTTATTTTTATAAAGCACAAGACTATTTTTCCAGGATAGGTAGGCCTCCTCATGGTGCGTAGAGCGCCATGTTCTCTCCAATTTCCTAGAGTTTTGTTTTAAGGCTCGTAAATGAGAATTAAACCAGGGAGCCAACTTCCTGTCCCTAATTACCTTCTTTTTTAAGGGGGCAACATCATCTAATGCCACACGTAAAGAGGAATTAACATGATGAACTAAGGCATCAATTTGTGAGGGGCTAGAACTGAAAATATTGCCATCTGCTACATGCCTCTGAGATGCTGAGGACAGTAAAGATGGAACAGTTGATTTAAAAGACGCAACTGCGTTGTCAGATAGAGACCGACTATAATGAAATTTACTTTCATGTCTCGAGAACTCAGTTATAAAAAACTCAAATGTTATCAGAAAGTGGTCCGAGAGGACTGGATTATGTGGAAAGATTGTTATTTCCTCACACTCTATGCCATAAGTCAGCACAAGGTCCAATGTATGATGGCAGGAGTGGGTGGAGCTATGTATTCTTTGAGTAAAACCAATTGAGTCTAAGATATTACTAAAGGCTACATTGAGGCTATCATTTTCAATGTCCACACGAATATTAAAATCCCCCACATTAATTTTAGTGACCTCCGAATTGCGTAAACGGGTGTCGTTACCGCCAGCGTGAATAACAATCTTACTGTATTTACGCTTATCCTTAGCCAGCAGTTTCAGGTAAGATTTAATGTCGCCCGCTCTGGACCCAGGTAAACGTTTAACTATGGTTGCTGGAGTCTCTAATGCCACGTTTCTGACTATGGAGCTGCCAATGATCAGAGTCGGCTTGTCAGTGGGTGCGTCACTGAGCGGGGAAAATCTATTAGAAACGTGGACGGGTTGGTGGTGGCCCACGGGCTGGGTTCTATGCTTCCTGCGTACCGTCACCCAGCCGGCCTGAGGTCCCGGCTGCTCGGGTTCTGCTGGAGGATCGCTACGGGGTGGTTCTGAGCTAGTTAGCCCCGCGCTAGCTAAGTAGCTATGGCTGTTTACGGGTTTTTCAACAGCACGGAGCCGGGACTTCAATTCCGACACCCTCGCCTCCAAAGCTACAAAAATGCTACATTTATTACACGTACCATTATCGCTAAAGGAGGCAGAGGAGTAACTAAACATCTGACACAGAGAGCAAGAGATAGGAGACGGAGAAGCAGAGACAGAAGTAGCCATAGCAAAGCTGAGGCTAAGCTAACTGAACGAGCAATCCGTTCAACACCAAATAAACTGCGTGCGAACTCAAATGGTTCCCTAAAAGCTAGGTGGAACAACAGAAAATGTGTGTTTTAGCGTGCTTATGTGCTACAATAACTCAGAGATATCCTAGTGCAGAGAAATTAAATCAGTTTTAGCGAGCCCCAAACACCAAGCAGCTTCACGTAGTGCAACACTGAAAACAGGAAGCGCCTTACCACCAGGTGCAGCCAATCAGCCACACCAGGATGAGATGTGGACGGAGCGTCACACTGCCCAGCATTCACATCTAAATGAAGCAGTTTGTTTTCATTTGGTCAACTGACATTTTCATAATTGCGTTCCAGCTTCCAGCTCCTGTATTTGGGTTGAAGATGATTTTTCTCCTTCCTCCTCTCAGAGCCTCCCCGTGTCTCCCTCAATGTGGGCCCCACAGTCACACTGCAGGAAGGTAGTGATCACAAGGTGATTTGTGAGGCGGAGAACTACTACCCTCTGGATGTGGATATTGAGTGGCATGAGCAGGACCCATCTCCGCTGGGTCATCGGGTCGGGGTTCCCCTCCCTAAGGTGGTTCCTAACATCCTGCTGTCCAGCCACAAACAAAACCAGGACATGACGTTCTCCATGTCAGCCTTCTTCTACCTCCAGCCTTCGCCCAAGGCATCAGGGAGACAGTTTATATGCAGCGTCTCCCATAAGTCCCTCAGGATGCCCATCAAGAAAAGCTTCATCCTTATAGTCAAAGGTGAGTGCAGTGCAATAGGAGTGGTGCCGTACCATGAGCTACCACCAGGTGTCAGCTGAGTCTCATTTTTGCTGTAATGTCCCTCTGGGATCAATAAAGTATCTTTGAATTGGATTGTGTAGAGCCAAGCAGCTGGCTGTTTCCCCTCACCCTCAGCATCATCCTTCTCACACTGCTGGTGCTGATGCTGCGTCACCTGCACTCAGGTGAGTGAGGGAGATTTTCCACATAAATTAGCAGGTTAAGTGGATTTTACACCCTTTTTGCTTCCAGGATGATTCTGTGAAACATTGAGCGGTGCTAAACAAATAACTACGGTGTCATTTATCTCCTCCACAGCTAGAGGAAGATCCAAGAAGGTAAAAAGTTAACAACCAAATGATCTGAACACAATAATAATGCATGTTTAAACCGTGTGTGTGTGTGTGTTCGGAGTAGAAACCATTCTGAGCACCTTTCTGAGGCCGTGACACAAGCAGCATCAGCAGAGATCGACTCTGTCTCGCCTCCTTCATTCAGATTCACATCAGGATGGAGCACATGTTCGAGTTTTGTCTTTTTTTCTTTAAATACGGTCATTTGGGTTTCTGTGAAACTTTAGATTTGCACTGATTGTATTTATCTGTGTTTATTAAAACTGTTCAAACCAGAACAGAAGATTGTTTAATGTGTCGTTCGTCCCAAGAGTGGAGCGGAGCAGCACTTCCTCATGACCACTGATGGGTAAATCCTACTGAGAGGGAGGTTTTCCACATGCATGACCCGCATAGGAACAGGACTTGACTTATAGCAAATTGCATCGAGTCACTGACTAGACTAGACTTTACAGCAAGCATGTAGCAACAGTTGAACACCACCTTTTAGCAGGAAAAGAAACCTCCAACCGAACCTGGATCAGTATAAGCAGCTAGAACACACACACACACACACGGGACAGATGAACTAGTAGAGGTAAAGAAAATCGGAGGTTGATGGAGAATGTCTGTGTGACGTAGCAGCGACTGGCCGTTTCTGACCCGGTCGTTTGGTTTCCGTGGCTGAAGCAGACGGTGAGGATGGGAGAACGGTTCAGGATGCAGGAGAAACTCGGAGCGAATAAACAAGTATGACACGGTTTCTCAGTGATGGAGACCTTTAATAAGTCAGGTCTGGTTGGGATGGATTAAGAGTTCCATTTTAATCCTCCTGGTCAGTGATTTGATGATTGTTGTGAGATTCATGCTGATGAGCGATATGAGGAGATTACTGGGGAAACTGCTGGGCCCCTGTCAGGTTTTAGGAAAAGGCTCTTGTCACAAGTGTCCACTCAGGGTTTTAAAACTGGACCCGTGTCCAACCCTTGTCCTCGAGGGACACCTGACCTGATGGTTGAATTGTCTGTTGGGCAGGCCATCGAGCTCTCCACCAGCCTGTTGATCACCCACTGATTCCAATCTGGTGGATTGAAGCAGAAAAACCTCTAAAGCATGCAGGATGGTGGCCCTCGGCCTCGATGGCCAGGACTGGACGCTGCTTTGAGGTTCTGAACCGATGCATCTCTTACTGAGACATCAGCCAGTGAGCAGATGGAGGCAGCTGGTCTGGACACGGCGTCCTCTGAGGAAGGATTAGATAAGGAGAAAGGGAACAGGCCCCTAATGTCTACAGCACAGAGGACACTGGAGACTTGCTGCGAGGAAGTGAGCTCACGCACTGGATGGAAAACTCAGAAATAAAGAACCAGAGAGTAAATAAGACCAATGAAAACATACAGATTCACTTTTCCTTTAAAAATGTGACCGACTAAAAAGCTCTGCAGCAGCTCAAACAGCTGAATCTGTTATTAACACACACTGATCATCGTTACGCAACAGTGTGTGGAGATGATGTCATTCACACACACACACACACACACACACACACACACACACACACACACACACACACACACACACACACACACACACACACACACACACACACACACACACACACACACACACACGTGTGCGTTCTCCCCGCTGTATCAAAGCTCAGTCATGCATCAACAGCCTTCTGACGGGCAGTGAGGCCCCTTTTCAGGATTACATCACCCCTTCCTCATCCAGGCGCCGGGGCCAAGCACACACTCATGTGTTCACCATCAGAAGCAGCAAGCAGGCAGGCAGGAGAACGTTCACCAAGCCCAGACCAGATTCTGTTTGAGACCAGCGTTTGGAAAGGCTGCGGAGAAGCACGTAATCTGTGGGCACTCCTGAGAACGGGGCGGGGGGGTGTCAAAGCTGCTGATTGTAAGCAGATGACGCACGCAGCAGCTCTGCTCAGGCTGCAGACTGGTTCAAGTCCAGAGATGTCATGGCCGAGCATGAAAACGTACGTAGTCCAAGACTGTGAGATCTCAGTGTTGCTGTGTCTGAAGCTCTTCGTTTGGTTCAGCTCTGATCGAGTGGATGAGCTAATCCGATATGTGGCTTCAGAGATAACATCCCTCCTAATCTCCACGTCCTACTCCTGCCCTCATTCATGACACAGACGTACCTTCTCTTGAAGCAGAGCCCCCCCCCCCCCCCAAAAGCCAGGGGGAGCATTCCAGCGGAGAACCACGGTATCCAGAGGAGCTGACTCATCCGAGCAGGGAAGCTTGACCTAACACAAAACTGTCACCATCAGGGCGACGGTGGCACAGGAGTTAGTGCTCGCCCTGCAGTCGGAAGGTTGCAGGTTCAAGCCCCGCTCAGTCTGCAGCTGTCTTTGTGTCCTCAAGCAAGACACCCAACCCGCCAGGGTAGCTCATCACCACCAGGGTGTGGATGGGTGTTACGTCCCCGACATGAGATGTTAAAAGTGTGAAGGAGGGGGAGAACATAAGAACTGGTGGAGGAGTTTAAAATGGGTTTATTTGTACAAAAAGGTATTAAAACACGAGCAAAACTGATTTCTCAAAAAGGTTAACGTTACAAAGCGCATTATCAACTATAAAACACCTGGTAAAAACTTATGTTAAAAGTTTTGCCGCAACGAAGGTGTTTTAAAGTCCTGAAGTTGATAAAAGTCTAAAAACATTCTACTGACTAAAACACCTGGTAAAAACTCATTTTAAAAGTTTTACCACAACTGAAGGCGTTTCAAACTGAGGTCAGTAAAAATGCCACAAACAGAGTTAACCTTTTAAAAACCAAACACACAAAAGATCCCTCTGGATCATCCACAATTTCTCCTTTAGAGTTAAAACCAACCAAAGTTTAAAACTCAAACAAATCCAAACGAACAGGGGTTAAAACTACACAAAACCAGGAGGACAGCAGAACCCCTGCACTGCTGCCTCCTAGACTACTGAAGGCACAGCCCTTTTATACAGGTGATGGCAATCAGTGAAGATTCCTTGCAGCTGTGCTCCTCAGCAGCCCGGGAGAGAGGAGGAGGGGTAGTGTCAGGCTGATTCAGCAGGACTTGGTGATTCTGCTGCTTCTCTCCACTGGTCAGGCTGGCAGCCGTAACAATGGGTGAATGACTGATTGTGTTGTAAAGGGCCTTGGGGGGTCCCAATTATTAGAGAATAATTAACTGATGCTGAACAGCTCAAGAGGTTCCATTGTGCAGATAGAGCTGCCGTCTGCTCCCGGACACTAATCTGACCATTTAGCACCTTTCCTACCTGGGTCCACATGCGTCCGGCTCAGTATGGCTCTACACGGTTTGGAAGGTTTTCCATTACAATGGATCATAGAGCAGTCTTTCTATGCCTCCCACCTGTGGTCTGAAGGAGATCACCTGCTTACTTCCTCGTCAACTGCCAGCCCTCGCATAATTATTAAAAAATATCGATGTGGCACTTGACGCACATTAGATGACGACCCCTGCTCTGGAGCAGCCAGAGACTCCTCCCCCACCAGTCAGTGACTGACGTTGGGTTTTCAGCCGGTTGGTAGGCTTGGAATTGAGTTCTCATGTCCAACCCTACTAAGCCTGATGGGTTGAGTCAGTTTGGGCCTACTACCGTAAATCCTCTAATACAGGCCCGGGCCTGTATTTGACTCAAGCTCATCAAGCTCCGGGCCTTTATTGGAAGGAGGGCCAGTATTAGAGGCAGGCCTCTATTTCTATTTGAGCAAAATGAACTAATGGTTCGCTGGAGTTTTTGACAATTAAAAGTACGCCCACATTTTCAAAGTTAAACACATTTCTTTTAACAACGGTAGTTTCTGCTTCAGCCCTCTCCCCCCTCCCCCTGCTTCAGCCCTCCCCCCTCCCCCTGCTTCAGCCCTCTCCCCCCTCCCCCTGCTTCAGCCCTCTCCCCCCTCCCCCTGCGCAGCGGCCGCAAACTCACTGATGCACCTGCAGCCTCTCAGAGTTCCTGCTGCTCTAAACATTAAAATAATTATTTCATTTTCTGTTCCTCACTTCTGATTACCTTCAATGGTGACTGTTTGTTGCAACCAGCAGGTACAAAAACTAACTTGTTTTTATTTGACTATTTTTCTGTCCTGCCTGTTTATTATCTTCCTGCATCTCCTCTCAGTCCTAAAGAGAAACTGCTACCTGGGTTCATATATATTCACCTCATGAGTTACCTTTGAACTGCAGTTCTAAAAGATCTACTGACTGCAAAAACAGCGGAGTGCTCGCTGTTTGACGGCCGTATCAGTGATCAGTGCGTCGGAGGACAAGGTGATGCGCGCAGCGCCCCGCTCCACAGCATGCAGTGAAACGCATCAGGCGCAAATAAAAGACAGAAAACATTAAAGGAAATGAACTGACATGAACGATCGCGTGTTAAATTAGTTTTTGAGGTGGCGACACCTGATTGTTACTGTGGCCGTGCTCAGGAGGCAGATCTACCGACCGCAAAAACAACGGAGCGCTCGCTGTTTGGAGGCCGCATCAGTGATCTGTGCGTCGGAGGACAAGTTGATGCGCCCCGCTCCACAGCAGCGAAACACATCAGGTGCAAATAAAAGACAGAAAACATTAAAGGAAATGAACCGACATGAACGATCGCGTGTCAGTACCTACGGTCTGGCACAGCGCGTTGCCCACCCCCCCCCCCCCCCCCCAGCGCAGGAGCTTGTCACCTGCTGACAGCAGGCTGCTGTCTTTTCCGAGGACTGCATCTTGCCGGTCATTATCGAGTGACAGCGACTAGTCGACGACAGGCATAAAAAGTCACTATAGTGAAGTTGAGTAGTTCATACACCCCCTACTGCTGCTCTCCAGAGTGTTCTGCAGCATAATCAGCACGTTCTCTTTGAACTTGATAGTGTAATGACCTGGCTGGGGTTATAAGCCAGGTGCATTCTGGGTATTGTGTTATATGTGTTTCCTATCGTTCTGCTAGTTCCTATGTGCTGATTTGCGTGTTGTGTGAGTGTTATGTAAGCCACAGGGAAGGTGATGTGTGTTCTGTGGAGCGGGTTGAATTAGCATGGTTAACTGACACCGTGACTCTGTGTGGTAGGAGCGTGATAGAGGATCGTGTCTGTAGCGTTGAAGAAAAAGCCTAATAAAGGTCTGCGTGAACCTCTACTGCCTCCTGCTGGTTAATTTGAGGACTATAACCCTGCTGCTGAGACGCTCATACTTGCTTGTTACCACATTCCACCCGGCCACAATAAGAGACCGGCCATTATTCACCTCCTGGAGACCCGGCAATACCTGCCTGTATTAGAGGATTTACGGTAATTAAGTTAATTAGGAGGGCTGACCCAGACTTGGATAGCAGAGAGAGAGAGATGGACCTTAGTGTCGCTAGATGCACAATAGAGGAGAGGGGAACGCGGCTCAAACCAGACACCGTGGACTCATTAGTATTCCTCCTGATGTGTTAAGCACCTAAAAGAACACCCAAATTCAGTTGGGCTCGGTTGGAGTGTTGTGTGAAATGATGTCATGCAAGTCAGTTTGAGGCTTCAGGTCCATCAGGTCATTTTGTTTTTGGGTTGAATTTTTGGGCCTGTATAGAACGGTAGCCTGGAACCACAACGATGTGGGTTCTTAAAAAGGGGTCAACCTAGTACCTGTTACTATTATAGAAACCCCTTGGAACTGGGCCGAACCAAGTCAAGCTGTGCTGAGCAAGTTCTGGTTGAAAAGGCCCTTCAGAGGAAACACGAAGCAACGTAACCTTACTGGTTTGTCTCCAGTCCTAACAGCCTGGACCAGATGGTACCAGTCTGCACCTGAAAGGAGACACACAGCAGCTGGTTTACACACACTGAAAGCAACAGCAGAGAAAACAGATATGTGCAGAATGTGACTGTTAAATAGTATTTTCTGCAAATTTAGCAGTAAAAGAATAGAATGTCCTCCAAAACGTAAACTGAACTGAGACCACAAAAACCAGCAGGATGATTAAGGATGAGAAACAAGTTAAACAGGAAATAACTGAGGAGAAAACAAGCATTAGCAGATGAGGAGGATCAGTGAAACTAACATGTCAGCACCAGACAACATTTCACTGTCTACTCATTCCTCATTAGGCCAAACACACTTGCTGGAATAGAAACGCTCACTCACTAAGTTCATGTGGAAGGACACGTAGCCCATCTTCCTGCATGAGCTAATTCAGGATAAGTCCTATCAGGACTCCAGAGAGCTCATAAATCACAAGAGTTGTTTTTACTCCATGCACGTGTGCTTCTGCTAGTGAGACGCACACGTAAGCACACAGCTTAACGGCAGGAGTTCCCCTTCTGGTTTTACTCTCTGCTCAACTTCCCTCTGATTCTGCTGCTGAAAGACACACACACACACACACACACACACACACACACACACACACACACACACACACACACACACACACACACACACACACACACACAC